GTTATACACTATTTGTTAAGTAATAAATAAATTAAAGGATGAAAAATCACCAAAAATTGGTTGATTAAGATGAATACCTCTAGTAAGCCTCTTGGATTCAGCCATTGGAGAGTAAATCATAACGGAAATTGAAAAATACAAACAACATTTTTTTAAGACTTAAACAAAAATAAAATTAAAAAAGAAATCTGAAAATAGGATAAAGATTAGAGATACCTTAATCAAAGGGATTCTTGTTGATTCAATTTTGGATTAAAAAAACAACCAAAATATATGGCAAAATAATATTTGCAACTTGAATGTTGGAGGAAAATCAGAAAAGATAATCATAAGAGAGAAAAAGAATTAAATGGGAGAGAGAATTAACAATTTGAAAAGATAAATATGAGAGAATAATTTTTTTTTTAAAAAAAAGGATATATAGAATTAATTGAAAAAGAGAGATAAAATAGGAAGAAAATTGGGACACATAAATTTTTAAAAATAAAGACATTTTTGACATTATTGCTAATATTTATAAAGTATGGATATTTTTACTAAATATGTTATTTATTTTGACTAGTTTACTAATTTTTCCTTTAATTTAAGCATGGTTAGGCCCAGCATTACAGTTCGGACTAATGCAGGTTCTGCAAAGATCCTCTCCGAAGAATTCAGGATTAGTCACTGAGTTGTTTATTGGAGTTTTAAGGCTACTGTATTCGGAGTCTCTACTTTCTTGTCTTTGTCTGCTTTGTTTATTGGAGCTTTTTTTGTGTGAGTTTGATATTAACAAGTTCCGATAATAGTACTCTGCATATAAAAAATCCATATTTTTGGTTCTTGATTTGATCATTTCTGTTTCAATTGATCATTATAAGTAGGTGCTTCTTTGTCATGATCCTCAACTAAGCGTTTATCGCTACTTTATAAAGTATGTACGCGGTCATGAAAGAAAGCCAGTCCTTTAGATAGACTGCTCCATCGATAGTTTTTGGGTCATCAAGATCGACTTCTCCTCTTGCTCAAGTACAGAATGAACCTCTTGTTCCTGAATTCTTCTGCTATAACTTCAGTGACAGATCTTTGCAAATTTCTGGTTATATGTGACTTGTGGGAGTCACTCCTTTATATATAAGATAATAAAATGGATTATGTCAATAAGATAGTGAGAAGAATATATATATTGATCTTTGTTGTTAACAGTGACATCATTTAGGGCTCTAAATAAATTAACAATTCAGATCAGCAAACAAAACATTGAATAATGCATAAACCAAGCAAATGAAGACAAAAAGATGCATGTCCAGTAAGGATTTTTTGGGAAAACATCCAATCGAAAGAAAACCCAGGAATTTAGTGAACGGGAAATAGGAAACACAGAAAATAAATGAGGCAGAGAAAGGAGGTGTACATTTTTGTTCATAGGATAAACTGAAACTTTGTCTCCCAATGTAGGACACAAATTGAATCTCTGTTGTTTTCCATGGAACATAAAGAAAAGTTTTTCAAAATAACAAATGTAGAAATCAAAGATGCAAGCGTGGAACATACTCCATCGATTTGAGAACACGCGTCAAAGAAAGAAAGGAAGGGAGAAAATGAGGGCACACTGTATGAAAGAAGGAATGGAGAAGATGAAATTATGGATTTACCCTCCGAATGTTCAACGAATCCTTCTCTTATCAAGAATGAAAATGATAACTAAGCATATTTTTCTTTAAAAAATCAGATGAAGTTTACACTAGTGTATTCCTCAATAGGCACCCCAAAAAGATTTTCTCATTGTTCAACTCGATTATGCATAAATCAGATTTTTGTGATATTTCAGTTCTACTCATTTCCAGTAACATAACATAATTTAACCTTGTTAAACTATATACTTTATTAATAGACTCATAAGTTTTTAAGGTTATAAATATTCTTAGGGAAGATATACGGGTAATAAATGCATTATGCAATGTTCAACTAAAGTCGGAACTTCTGATAATCTAGTAACTTAGACAATGCACAATTCATATGTTGTCTAAAAAAGAACAAGAATCGTTCCATTTTTTATTCTGCGGTTCAAGAAAATAAAACTACCAAGTTCATCTCGATTTATTTGACAGAACTCTTACTTTTACCCATTCAATTGTTAATGACTTCATCAAATAAAAAATTTGAGGAGCACCACTAATACCTGCAAGAGGGTCCTGTTGTAACCTTTTGAAATCACACATCTGTCTCTTCCTTGAAGGAGTTGACATTTCAACTGCCGGCACATTATCATGGCAGAATCAAAACAAGCAAACAGTTGTAAGAAACATCACTTTCTTCATTTGTAACTCAAAGTAAAAAATCAACCAAAAGAACGACACTAACGAGCCCTGCTTGTTTAATCAATTCAATCCTAAATTTGTCAGCTCAAAATTCAACATACTACACTATGAAAAGGGAGATGGACTAATTATGGCGATATTCATTAACAAAGTGAAAGGTAAAAATCCTTCCAAAGAGTAACAAACACTAATTCATTCTTATTTTGCGATGAAGCTTTCGATGATGAATACGAACAGAAAAAAGTGAAGTTCAAATGCTTTTTTTAAAAATTCGTATATCAAATGATAATTTCACAAACACATCCACAAAAAATCAGAAAAGATGTTCCGTCAGGAATCAATTCAATTGACAGACTTACCTTACTGTGAAAATCAAAGAGAAGGCGTAAATTAGGGTTCTGCTTCGGATGGTACCTCATCTTGAGAAGCAGGAGCTTCTAGATCAGACTTACTTCAGATAAATTAAAAAAATTTAATACAAGAAATATAGTGAGACTGATGAACAAGAAGAGGATGGTCCACTTCTTGTATCTGCTCTCTTGTATATACTCAAATTCTGCTAAATGATGCCAATGAACTTTTATCAAGCTATACCAATGAAGATCACTACTTATCTCAAATGAAGGAGTGATAATGAGTTTTGTCGAGTAACAATGGTGATTTATTTTATGGAAATGAGAAGAAGAGGACAGTAAGATTTAGGGTTTCATTTCTAAAGAGTAGTGATTTGTGAAAAGTAACAATTAGGTCTTTGGATTAGATTTCTTTATATATATATACTAGATCCTGTTTAGATGACTTTAAACTGATCGTTAACAGCTGATTAACTTCGTTAAGAACCATTTTGGGACATGTCAATTCATTCTAAGCCACTCGAATTAAAGAACAAGATAAAATTCACCAATCTAACACCTTACAATGACAAGTACATGGTGCTCACACACTTGGACAAAAGCCCTTTTCTTTCAATGCGTCCACAAAGATGATATCATTACTTTGCTTTCGACAAATAGATAAGACTTCCACAACAACAAAACATACACACTGTATACTTAGCTGCCTTACCCCTACTTTGTTAAGGTAGAGACGAACTATGATACACGATTATTTAACGTATTTAGTAATTGAAAAGCCATGAACTACCTTAGCGAGGATGATGTCCAATAGATCAGCTCCAGCTCTGGAATCACATAGCTCTTGCTGATGGCTGTTGAACAAACAAATTGAAAAATTAGAAAACAAACAGAAAGATTCAGAGAACTAAAAAGCAATCAGCCATAGAAATTCTACCTAACATGCCATCTGAGAGGTCTGATAGGTTCAGTTATGGTGGCGTTCAAAAGGCCGAGACGCCGTGGCTTGGGGCAAACAACGGCATCCTTCTTATCTGAAATTGAAGAAACGGAGCTCCACATGTCTTCACAGGCGGCGAAAGCACCTTGTTGAATTGCACAGTGATTCATCTTCTCTCTAGCTTGATAATAAGATCTAATTGAAAAAAACAAACACCTGTTCCAGACAAAAAACAGAAAGGGCGGAATTTTAGACAAGAGCTCAGAGATTTTTTTGCAGATCTGGAGTAATTACTCAACTAATAATAAATTCTATATGAACTATGTGATGAAAAAAAATTACAGATCTGGACAAATGATTAAAGGAATCGAGAGGCGGAGATACGCATGTGAGTGCTTTTTAACCTTTTCGTCGAGACAAACGAAGAACAGCCAGCAGAACCAGAAATTAGAGCGAAAATCAATTATTTTGGGAAGATCAATTCGCAGAAACGCCTAAATTTCATCGCACATACAGGAACAAATTAAACGTTTATTCCGCTGAAAAAACTAGAGATCTTCTAAATTTCTTCATAGATCTACGTAAAGAACAAGCGAAGGATTACTGACTAGGACTTCATAACAAAAATTTTTATACCATATATTTAGCTCTTCTGAAATAACTCCAAATATATTGAAATAACACCAGATATTATATATATATATTCAAACAAAAAGCTTATATTGACAAAATACCATCAATTATTTTTGTACCTTTAACTTTTGAATTTAATTTAAAGATAATCACATCATTCTATACATAAGTAGGATGACATAACACAATAAAATCACTTATCAAAAGTTAAAAAGTTTTTTTTTCTTACAAAAGATTATATTATTATTTCAAGAATCAATATATATATATATATAAATGAGGATCTTCAATCAGCTTATGTGGCATG